GCCGCAGTACGCCGCCTAACCCGGCCTGCTTCACCGCTGTTAGGCGCCTACCCTTGTAAAGTCCTTTCTTCCTTCTTCAGCTTAGAATAGTCAATCGACGGCACCTCTACGTTGAACAAGCCTAGGGGCCAGCCCCTTACAGTTGGAGAGCTCTGTCCTTCGTGATGTCTGGTCTGGCTTGCTTATTTGTCGCCTTGCGTACCTGATAAACGCAGTGCCCGCAAGATACTCACGCGAAGCTTCATCTTATGATTCGAGTGAAGCTTTGCTTTCTGAGTTAAGACTGCCCTTTGAACAAAGCGTATTCTTATGATCAAAGTTCGTGCTGTTCATCTTGAGTTGACACATTGGCCCTTTTGTCAGAACAATGACGAGCTACTCTTTGTGCAATTATTCGCCTCGAACAATTGAGCCCTTTATACTTCGAGTCTTGAGTCTACAAATAATAAAGTTTCCCTCGAAAGTCCCCTGCCCCATACCAAAACCCTCCAGGTTAATCAAACAAAACCTTGCGCAAACCCACCTCGCCCTGCCGCAACGCCAAACCTCACCCCCATTATCGACACAATGCCGCCAATCTCGCAAGCCCCCAAAAGCGGCTTTCAGGTGCGTCAATTCATCTGAAATTTCCCGCCGAAGCTTGCGCTGACAATCAATAGAGCTACGAAGAAGAAGAGGCCGAGTTCGCCCGCGACGAGCAATACATCCTACGAACGAAACGCGACATCATCCGTAAGGCCGAAGACGTCGCAAGAATGCTGGAGGACACTGGACGAGTGATGGGTGAGAATTCTGATGTATTCAAGAAGATCTGGGACCAATTTCAGGAGTTGGCGCAGATGTACCTGCGCGTCGATCAGTCGCTGGAGAATATGCAGAAAATTCGAAAGCAGCTTCAGCAGCTTCGGGACAGATCCGGGTAAACCTCGGGTCGGATGGTAGCAAGACGGTCGGTCATTCTAAAACTGGATGTTAATGAGAAAGTAAGCTCGGCTTGGGGTAGAGAAGGGTTTCAAGAATGGATTCAACCGTTTTTAGGCTCATTTTCGATTGAGTTGCGGCTTCGATCGGGATTTTCACCTGCGAGACATGTCGTCGTGGATGGTCAACCGTTATGTGGGTCTGGACGGGAATTTTGGGGCTTTCGGAGTTATGACTTGTCGGCGTCCAGGCTGGCTCACTTCGTCCCACCGCCAGCACCAGACACACCCTAAGACTCTTCATGCCCATCTCCCATCGTGGGCCAGTCCAATCCTCAGATCCGGGGTCGAGCCAGAGCTGACACCCCGCAGGGCTGGCCATCCCTGTTTGAGCCAGCCGCAACTTTATACCGACCTCATCTTTCCATTTCCAGAGATCCACTCCTTCCCCGGTTTCACTTGGTGCACCTTCATTTTCTATCCACCCTCACTGCCACGACATCTCACGTTCTGCAAAACAGCACTTCTGAAAATTTCAATCTCTCACCTCAAATTCCGCCAATAAAAAAATCAGTCTCGGTACGTACTGCAGCGATCGCACAATCAATCCTATCCCCCACCCACCTTGCCGCGAGCAGGAACGCCCGGACCAACCTCGACTTTTATTTAATCCACCCTCTTCTCCGGCTCTCTCAACTTTTCTTCTTCTTACCTCCATCGCAACCTTCCCCCATCGCAACCTTCCTCCATCGCAACCTTTCTTCTTCTCCCTTCACTTTCGCATTTTCTCATCCCTGCCGCGGCCGCGATCATCGCCCCCTTCGCAATTGGTAAGTTCACTCCATCCACTCTTGTCTGCTTTCTTGGCTTCGCGTTCGCTGCACTATCACGGTTGGCCCAAGGACCTGTCCAGCCAGGGACCAGGATGCCGGCACCATCAGAGGCGAGATCTCTCGCTCGCCTCTCACGATGAACGCCCGCTGAAAGGAACCAGTGACAAGGAACCTGGTTCTCATGATCGCCTCTGTCTCTTCGGGATTTGGGGTGAACACGAGAATTGGCGGCCGGATCTCGCGATGTCACTTGCCCCAGGAGCCGCGGATCCTACCTTCCCATTTGTGTCGCGGTCTGTCTCGGCAGTCAGCTTCAGCATTTGGGACTCAAGGACTAGACTGTGCACTCCGCTTCGAGTAGGTTGGCAACCCTCGGAGACAAGACCTCCGGTCCGGTTGGAGAATATGCGGCCTTTGGTCCTGCGGGAGACCTTAGATCGCTCCTGGGGGCGTTCCAGCAGCCTATCACGCAATGCATTCATCGAACTTACTTGCTTGTCTCAACTAACTGGATGAAGACAGGTTTTCCATTTTCTCCTACTCTTTCTGTCTTGTATCGACCTCACATGGTAAGTTCATCCCATCCACTCTTGTCTGCTTTCTTTTGGCCCAACGCGCGATGCGCAATCTGGTTGGCTCAAGAACCCTTCGCCAAGGACAAGGAAGGCCTGGAAGCATGAGGAAGCAGGATCTTTCGCCTGCTTCTTGCTTGTCTGCCTCACTTCCAGGAACTCCAGTAAGGGAACCCGCTTTCAGCGTTCTTGTCTTTCGCCCTTGGGTGTTTGGCTTGGACATGGTCGGCGGCTGCCGTCTTCACTTTGCGCAGTTCTCTCACGCGAGCCGCCTTTCTTTCCTTCCTTGCCTTCCCACGGGATCGAGCTCGGGTTCCAAGGGGGAAAGGTGCGCCCCGCTTCTGGGTGGGTTGGCAACCCATGGGGAGATATGCCATTGCAACGGGGGTACGCGGTGCGGTTCGTGCGGTAGAACCGGCCGCTCCTTGAGGGCGAGCTCGTGGCCATTCTCACGCAATGTCAAGTGGTGACTTACTTAGTTGTTCGCTCGACTAACTGGATGAAGACAGGTGCTTTCCTTTCGCTTGCGTTGTTTGGATACGCGGCTCGGTTCCGGGGTTTATCTTGGCGCGCTGGGTCTTTGCTGGAATTAGAGGATAGTTTTGTTAAACAGGTTGTTTTGAATTCATCCATCCAATCTCCTGGTGGCTTGGTGAGCTCGTTCACTCGGAAATTGCGTGATGTCGTGAGTGATGTCGTGAGTGATGACATGCCTACGTGGAGGAAAATCTCGCGTCTTTATTTCACTGCTGCATCCACTGCTCACGATGGCCCGTCGCTCATGCCGACATCACTGTAACTTGGCGTATTCCACTTCATGACAGTATCCATCAGCGCGGCAGTTCCCGAGACATACGTAACTCTTTCGTAGCCTGACTGCCAATTTCCGTCATCTCCATCTTCCGAATATACGACCTGGACAAAGACGACGACCAGAGAGTAAACCCTTGCGTCTCGAACAACTCAAAATCGCAGAATAAACATCCGATCCGAACAACGCCAAACTACTTGTTTCCTCTAGACCGAAGACGTCCCTTCCAGCCTCCCTGGCCCTTCTCGACCTTCGTGCCATCCGTCTTCTGCATCTTCTCAAACAGCTCCTTGAGCGTGTCAATCTGCGCCTTCATGGCCTCCATATCCGCCTTCTCCTTGACCAGCATCTCATTCGCAGCCCTAGGGGCCGTCTCCAGCGCCTCAACCTTGCGCGAAAGCTCCGCCACCGCACCGCGAATCTCGTTCATAGACTCCTGCATCATCTCCATCTTCTCATCTATTGTTGTGGCCCCTGTACGCATGGCAGCCATCTCGGAGCCCAGAGCCTCCACCTTGGAAAGGGCAGACTGCGCCTTGGCGTCGACCTGGGTTCCCAAGCGCAGCGCGGCGTTCAACTTGGAGCCGACCTCCATGATCTTGTCCCAAGCCTGCTGACCGGTGCACTTCTCCTTGAGGTAGGCCTCCGCGACGTCGTTGATGTGGAGCTCCATCAGCCGGACGCGTCGCTTGGTGTCCTCGAACTCCGCGCGCGCGATCTTGGTAGCCTGTTTCTTCCGCTGATTTCGCTCCGTGTCAGCAACCTCAACTGATGGAAAGGGCTTGGGGGCGTTTGTTTGGGGTAGGTACTCACCTTGGCCTTCTCAATGCGCACAGTCACCTTGCGGCCCTTGACGTCCTCGCCCGTCTGCTCGGCGACAGTCTCGTCGGCCGTCTGGCCGCTGTAGGCGGAAGCGCCCGCGCGGAAGGAGGGCATGGGAAAGAAGGTGGACGCGACGATGTCTGCGGGCTTGGCGTGCGGGAAGAAGAGGTTCGCTCCTGACTTTGCGGCCGCGTCTGTGGAGGCGGCAGCTTCTTCGCAGCTTCTTCGCAGCGTCTTCGCTCCTGCCGCTGCAGGCGCTGCTTTTTGCCGAGTCGGTCGCGCTTGCCGGCCATAACGGGTGGTTGTGGGAGTGATTTGTTTTTTGAAGATTGGAGATTAGGAGGCGGGCTCGGAGGCTGGTGTGAAGACCGGAAACCTCAGGTGGGCGGCTATGGGTGGAGGGGTAAAAACGCGTGTGGTGAGGTGCGGTCGCATACCTCACGGCGATTTGGGAGGGGTGGGATGGAGAGCTTGGAAACGCTGCGCGCCATATCAGATCAGACCCCCTTTCCTTTGTGCTCGCTGTCGTAGTTTACAGTGAAGTCGCTATTCTATTTGCTGCTGTCATTGCTGTTGTTGTTGCCTCTATTGTTGCTACTGTCGCCGCCGTCTATCATCGTCGTCCTCATCAAAGTTACGCGATACACAGGAACTGTAGTCTCCCAGATACAGGAAAGTTAGGCGGTCTCATAAGACTGGATCTGTACTGGAAACACTGTCTATCACACTGGCTCTCCGATCCTCCGTGCACTAAAACCCATGGAAGTCAAGCGTCACTCCAGAAGAGCCTGTGACGAGGAGGCCGGGCGGCCGTCCATTATGTAAGACGGGACGTTATCATTCAGAGCAGCTACCAAACCGGCGGTGGGTGAAAGGAACGTTCGAAGAGGTCGCCACACGTCAAGTTCATGAGCCCTCGCTTTCCGCGGGAATCTCAAACTCCTTCCATTTCAATGAGCCCACCAAGCCTTCAATACAGGAAGCTGGCGTGGGCTGTCGCAGAAAGAGCCCGCAAAAGTTTCTTTGGTTTTTCTGCTTTCTTCTGGAAGCGATCGCTCGAGAACAGTGTCTCTCCTTCGGTCCAGTGTCTTGTTCTAAGAATTTGAGGAACCATTGACCAGAACACCGTTTGTTCCTGCGACGGATGTCGTTGTTCTCCACGCCAAGGCGTTGGTCCGAGCTTGGTCGACCAAGGTCCGGCAGCACACAAAGAAAATATTGAAGATCAGAAAAAGATTCTCCCAAGTGATCCGTTCAAGAAAAATACTTAAGGAGGATCATCGACCTTTTCCCATCTCAGTTTTCGCATTTTCTATCTGCGTTGAAAAAGTCGGCCATCGGGTGGCTCACCTGGGGTGCCGCAGGTACGAGCAGGCACGGTCGAGATTTGTACACAGTAATCGCAAGCACAGTGAGCGAATTGGGAATTTATATGGGGCTTCAGCACAGTGACCGCTGCACCGTGAGGTACATCGAGCATTGTTCTGGGCACGTACTTGCGCAAAGTGGAGCTGATTCAATTGAGCGCGGACACCACGCCCCTCCCCTTGGCAGCACCGATCGATCTGATCTTGCGACTACAGGGGAGCCTGGACCCTGTCGAGCGTATGCAGCGGGCCGTCCCGCTGAACTCCCTGCACCAAAAAGCTGCGGTACACTTAGGTACGGCGAGGTACGACAGGAGACCAAGCAACCAAGGCCACTGAATTGCAGTCCCAAGGTAAGTGCCCGCCCCACTTTCCACACTTTGATTCAACGACACACTCCAGTGTCTCTGCGACGACTTCAGCTTTTTGGCCGTGGTGAATGTCGAGCGCCGCAACGGGCCATCCGATCTCACTTTTTTTCGTCGCCAATTTTATGGAATTTTGTTGTGCGTGTGGGCAGTCGGCCTCGGTTAGTTCGATCGACTCAGGGCTGAAATACGCAGTGAAGTTCGAGCGGCCAGCCTTCCAGCTTTTCTCACCCTCAGAGATTTCAGTCCCATCTATCTTCCCTTTTTCTCTCCCATCTCTCTCGAGCTCAGCTTGCCCTTGCACTCGAAGCGGTATGCGCCAAACTTCTCCCCAGCGTGGTTTTTACTCACGATATCGCAGATGGACACTCGCCACTTTGCTTTCGAGGGCTTCGCTTCGTCTTCCGACACCGAAATGGTACAGTTCATCCTTTTTCTTTCCCCATCTCTCATCCTCTTCCCCTCTCTCATCCTATCTCCCTCTCATCTTGTTGCCCCCCTCATCCATCTCTGCTCGCAACCTAGAGCAGGCGATTGTCTCTTTCTGTCCTCTCTTGCCACTGCCCGAATTCCTTTCCATCCGCATTGGAAACTAACCTCTCGTTTGCAACAGAAGGACAACCCTGCCGATCGCAGCAACATGGCCGATCCCTTCTTGACCACACCTTCGGTAAGTCCATTTCATTCACATTTGACTGCCTTCTTTTGCTTTGAGTCTGCACGTGTCGTTGCAAGGAGATCACCTCTTACGGGCCCACGCCATGTTGGATGATGGGATGGTCGTCTGCTGGCGAATCTTCTCGCCGCCAGCAGACACATACCAACCATCTTCCAACAGGGTCTCCGTTTGGCGCAGGGTTTTCTCTTTGAGGCGATCAATCACCCGGAGCGTGTCATGGCTGTCTGTCCTCCCCCTCACGCGGGGGTTGCACACGCAACGGGGGGCGCGCCTAGGGTCCGAAGCTGGCTGGCAGCTGGCCTTGGAAGGCAGGATGTTGGGGGCTTCTGTTCCCCTCCCTGCAGAAGGACTTTGTCTGGAAGGGTAAACGTGGTAGAGGGCCGAGCTACGGCTAAGACACCCTGCCGTTCTGGGGAGAACGCGGACAAGAAGCAAATTTTCTCGGGCATATCAAATGCGGACTTACTCAGTTGAGATTCCCTTAGCTGACTTGAATGAAGGCAGATTCACAGAGCCCCGGCCAATCCCTCTCTCTCGACACCTTTGAGAAGAACTCCCGAGACATCATTCGCGACGCTCGTGAGCTTGGAGTCGGTGAGCGCCAGCTCAACTTCATCCGCGTCCAGCAAGAGCAACTTCGTGCCTTGTTTTTGGAGGCTACCAAGGCAGCCGCCGCATCCGCCGCTACTATCCAAGGCTACCAGAATCACCAGGACTTCGCTCGGCACTACAGTATCGAGTTGAAGTTGGCAGTCGAGCAGTGTGGCTTCATTGCCGAAGACCATCGCGGCTACAAGGCAGAGCTGGAGGACTTGAAGAAGAAGCTTGTCCAGGTCAGCAAGGAGCTGAATGATACCAAGAGAACACAGTGTGTCATGAAGAAGGATTATGAGGCCATGAAGAGCAAGCAGGAGACTTCGGAGCGCGAGAACGAGGCCCTCAAGCGCGACATGAAGGAGCTTCAGCAGCTGTTTCGAGTCCACGTTCTCTAGATGCACAGGTTGAGCGCATGGATACGGGGCGTATTATAATTGCTTAGACCTCAGTTGCTTTGACTACCAAATACCATCAATAACCTGACTCAACTAAACTACCTTGTTTTCTATCATTCGTGAAGACCCGGTGCGCCTGGGTTTTCGTTCGCGCGCGTGAATAACATGACTGTATGAGCACTGTGAAAATTGCAAAAGATCTCTCACTCAAATAGCAGAGAATCAATTTGGAACGCAACCTGATGGAGACCGCCTAATTTCCCTGTGTCTGGGAGGGGTAGTCAGAGGTCGTTTTGCACTCTTCTCGTACAGAGCAAAGAGGTAATCCGCCCCATCTTGGCCCTCAAAATCTAAATTTGCAGTCTGAGCTCACCTTGGGATCAAAAATCACTCGCGTAAACTCCGTCGCGAATTTTCTTCGGGCAGAACACCTCCAAGAATTCTTTTCGGGCTGCTGCTAACGCGATGGAATCAGAACCTTCCTATCATGCCGACGTTCGAGGACGTCATCCGATCCGCGATCGCCGGCCGCACCTCGGCCCAGATAGCCCCTGAGGTCCGCGCCGTTCTCGACAAGGCCGACCCCGAGACCAGGGAGATGTTCATGACGATCCTCGTCTACGTCACCGCCTTGACCAACGAGTCCAAGGCCAAGACGGCCTCCGAGATCCGCAACGCCGTCGAGGCCCGCGAGAACTACATCAAGGCCAAGAACAGTGAGGGGTCTGCTAACAGAAGCTGAGGGATGAAGCTATAATAGTATCCGTGGTGCTGTAAGTCGAGTAGATCCAGAAGGGTCTTCAGGGGACACGGTGATCAGTCGTATCTACAACGTTGGGGTGGTGTGTAAGGTAAACCTGAAAGTATCCGAATATGTTTATAAAGTTGATCACTAAAGTTATCCTTGCATACGGGGGTGGGTACCACCCTGCGGGGCGGGAGGCCGATTGCTGAGCGACGACATTGATGATGGACAGGGAACTCATTCGGAGGGCGGCGACCACCGAGATGCGCAATACTACAGAGATCACCTCGTCAGAAAAGCCAGAAGCGCAACGAAACAAAAGAATAGCATGTCATAACGTTAAGCCAAGGAGGAATGGGCCTACGTTGAGTGAGGAATGGAGCTTTCGTTGCATCGAGACTTGGGATTAAGGGAGAAAGCTATGCGGTGGCGGTGAGAGAGCAGCGCGCGGGCGGGCGAACCTAGTAGAGGTAGACGGGAAATGGAGAGACGTATGAAGCCGTTCTCGTACACGGCCGGTGCGCTCGGCCGGGATGGTGCCCTCTGGGACAGAGAGGCGACGCTGACGCCGCCGTTACCGCCGCCGCTTCGCCAGTATGATTTTGTCCTTCTATCGTGATGCTGTCTACTCGACCCGGGCCAGTATCCATCTTTCAAACCGGCGACCAGATCTCTCAGCTGTACCCATTTCATTTCCAAGTTGGCAGCCCGCCTAGGCTTTCACGCAGAGTTCGAAAAGGTCAACGGTATAAGAGGTATTGAGGGACGCGTCGGTAGTCTCCGGGGTTCTCGGGTGTCCGGAGGAGCGAATTGGCCGGGCGATGGGGTGAGATTTCTTCAAATGCTTGCCAGCGTCGGAAGCGAGGCTTAACTGGGGGCATTTTGAGCTGCAGGGAAATTGTAAGCATAGGTGACTGCAGTTGTAGTCTTGACAGCGAAGTGCGAAGTACTTGATCAACTTATCAGCTGCCCGCAAAAGTATCAGGAACTCACCCATCGGAGTCATCGCCGCTTACTTCGATGAAGCATCAGACGAGGAACGCGTGGAAGGTAACATACGGTAGCCGATAGTGAGCGGGGCCATGGCGCGAGAGCTTCGGAACCGAGGAGACATCGCAACGAAATAGGTCTCCTTTGAGCTTCCTTGCGTCCCTTCCCCATAGGTGACCAAGAACGCCTGTGTCCGTCGTTGTGAGATTCCTAGGACAGCATGGACCCCTCCCTTGGCGACGATGCGGCGGCGCTCACGAAGCTGATTCCGATGACCCTCCTGACACGTACCAGCTGTGAAACTCCTTTCCCCCGTCTGTGTAAGAACCGCGGCGGTGGTTTCCGTCGCTGCCAAATGGAGTTTCGACCTTTCATTATGAGACCTCAAATATGGCCCTTCTTTACGAATCTCACGAGGCGAGAGACGGAAGCAGATAAACCAGAAAAAGACAAGGAAATTTCCTCTATTCCAGCAAGATCCTGAAATTCCACTGGGGTATTATAAAGCAAAAACGACTATACCCATGCCAAACGCCAAATCATGTGCATTGCATTTGCAATCCAAGGCGAAATTCCTCATCTCTCGTGTATCCTAGCCATCTTGATGCCAACTGCAATTGCCTCTCTCGGTATTGCATGTAGGGGAGGGTGAGCTGTCACATAGCTACCAGAAGTTCTGGGCTTTCTCTTGCTTCTTTAGATGTAGTTCTCGGGCCCTGAGGCAAGTGTCGCGCAGACTCTCAAAAGGGATCTCAACCTGCACAATTCTGGGTGAATTCAGTCAGCAAGCCTGCAGGATGAAACACATAGGGACAGAGCCAGTGCAGAGACATGACGTACTCGTCTCCATGGCCCTCAAACGGAACGGGGCGCTTCAGCCGGGCTGGAACGTGAGCATCGACGGAGAGAAAGTCGGAAGCAAACAGGCGGAGAGGGCCAGGGTTTGGGGAAGCGATACCGGCGGCAGCGTCGTGATCCTGCTCGGCGGCGGCGGTGGCATCAGCAAAATCGAACAGCGTGAGGCTCTGGACCTCGTGCAGAACCGGTCGGCCAGCGGCTGTCATTTCCGTTGCAAACAGGCGGACACGGATGGACGAGATGTTGGGGTATTGGACGTCGAGAATGAGGACCGTCCGGATGTGAGCGTTGGTCTGCTCCACGTATAGCTCGGCCTTGTTCATGGCGTCCTTGAGCGACTGGCTGTAGGAGATTTCGACAACGAAAGGAGGAATAGGGGAGGCGGCCCCATCATCGATGAACTGGTTGTCGGGATCCTTCTTGAGCTTGTTGGGAACGACGATTCTGACGGCATTGTCGCTCCAGACTTGTCGAAGGCGTCTGGAGAGGATATGAAGGGATTCGTTCTGCTCGTTCTGCTCGTTCTGGTTCTCGGTGCCGTCGTCGTTATCGTGGCCCAATTGAGGCCCGTATGCGGTAGCAGGAGTAGCGGCGGCAGCAGCAGCAGTGACGGCGTCAGCAAGCTGCTCAATAGCGCTCTCGAGGAGGATTCCAATAGCACGGTTACACTGGCTGTGTATCGTGGTCTCGACCATCATAATATAGGCGGACTGGGTGACAAAGTCGTAGGAGAAGCGGGCGACGCGGATATGGGCGAGGAGCTGCTCGAGGCGACCGAGGGCATCGGGGGCGAGGCGGAAGGAGGCAGAAGGCGGGAAAGACGAGGAAAGAGCAGAGGTTTGCAGGAGACAGAGATATTCGAGGTCGGCTTGGAGGTTCTCGGGGGTGTCAAGCCGAGGGGTTTCGCCAATGGACTTGGTCTGGTCATGTTCGGAAGGAGACAACGGCGACTGTGACTGCAACTGTGAGCGCGCAGGAGACGACAACAGTGATTTTACAGTTTGGTGGGCGGTTTCACAGACCATTTCTGTGATCTCTCTGTCTGCTTTGTTGATTTCCTTACCATCCACAAAACCGGGCGCGCCTGTGAAGAATTGCATGGTGGCCATTGTGCGATGCAAAAATTGAGGCCAGGACTGGCAGGAGTTAGAGGAGAAGAGGTAAAAAAGAAGGTCAGAGGCTTGGTGAGGCGAATGTGCCTAATTTGGGGTTTTTTTTTTTTCGTGGTCGTCGTTGTGGTTGTTGTGGGAAAGAAAAGAATTAATTGAGAGAGATGCTTAGGTGGTGTTGTTGAGAAGTTGAGGTGGAGGGTTCAAAATGTAAGGCGGAGGTGGAAGGTGGAGTAAGAAGGCACCTTGAACAGAGTTCCAGCACTGCTACGTACTGGAAAATCAGCACGTGCCTTAGCGCAACTACACTGCCTACCTTGTGAGATGGGAACATCCCCACATCCGTTGTGAATGCCTATGATATGGGTATCTGAAAGGTGACGATTGATGACTTGCGTTTAGTATCACTTTGTGATAATATGTAGCAGCCCCTGCTGACAAATGGTTTGCAGGGTAGTTGTCACGCGTGGCACTACACTTGGTATTTTAGGATCCACTGGGTGATGGCAACCCTCGAAATGGTTCAACTTCAAGCCAGCCCACCACCATCCTGCCGCCGACTTCTGCCTGTAACCACGCGCGCAGCGAGGTGACTAGTACGGGCTTACCCTACGGGCACCTGGTTGCATGTAATAAAGCCGAATGCTGGATATCTGGTTGCAAGGGAAACGCATCCAACTGTAGGCGAACACTAATCCCAGGATGTGTATGTAGAGGCATTCATTGATCCTAGGACAGTATGCAGGACACACACTAGGAATCTTGGGACCTGTTTACAGATGACCACTAAATCCCAGGATTTGAATTTAGGTTTCTTCGCTAGTCCCAGGACTGATGCCCAGGCGTTGACACCAATCCTAGGATGGTAGGCAGGGCATGCACCACAATCCTCCTAGGACCGGTTTCCGGGTGTGCAGTTTATCTCCACTAATCCCTGAGATCGGTCTTTGGTGTGCCACTGTCACTTTTAAGGCCCTGCGCCTTGAAGGCAATGTCAGCGTCGTACGACGACGACTGTGGCGCTTAGAACGTTATTAGCCAGGACTCATGCCTCTCCATTTCCGTTCTTATTCGCTAGTGCTTAATTTACTTCTTTTCACACGCGCTTGTCGCAGTCGTGTAGATGTCGATAACAGTCGCCCTGTTCCATAACCCGGTTTTCTGCAAAGATGTCTGGCTTACCCTGCCCACCCTGCTCACCCCGCTCACTGTAGCATGAGGCTTGGCTCTCCCTGTAAAAGCGGCGACCGATTTGAAGACACTTGGGCGCGGTATTGGCGACCTAAACCTCGTCAGCATCTAGCGATCCATGAAGGCGGCGTGCTGGGATGTACCTTGAGGCGAGTCAACCGGGTCACCGGAGAGGACGGCGCGTCTTCAGCATGAAGGCCATCTTCGCGGTTCTTGTTGGGTCCTACGGTCTTGCTCAAGTGCAGGTCGCCCTCAGAAAGAGCCTCCATCTCGAGCCGTTTGAGACGCTTCGCATGGCGTCTAGCCTTCTGGAATTTCTTGGTTTTGCGCATAACGATGAGTTGCTATCGGGCCTGGGGTTGACGACGAGGATTCTCGAGAGGCCGGTCACTGAGGTTAATATGGAAGCCTTCCCTGACGCGTGGGCCCAGCACTCTGGTCCAACGGCGGGAGACGCGGAGTGGAGGCTAAGGTTTGGGTACCTTATTTTGGGGCGCAGGGTACCGGTACTGCAGGCGGTCTTACGTCATCTACGTCCCGCGAGCAGTTCATTTCGCGAGTAACACTTGAAAGTATTCAATTTCGGCAGGCAAGACACATTCTCTTCTCTTTCCCCATCTTCAGACTACATCGGGTGAATTCTCATCTGGTCACCTCGACCGCGAAAGGTCTTTTGTTTTTCTCAAGCGACGGACGTGTACGCCCATTTCTTCCAAACCCTAGTCTCTTTTCCTTTCTATCTCAACGCCTTCAACTTGAGCAGCTCCATCTCTTCTCTCATCCTTCTCCTCCTCTTCCAACCGAAAACGTCTTTTTCGTCCATCCAAAAAAGCCAATCCACGACCAAAGCCCGCACATCATCATAAAGATGCGCACGATTATCGACATGAAGACCGTCAACGAGGCGGTGAGTTTCTTTACTACCCTTGTTCACTTTTGATTCTCATCTAACTCAATCCAGGCCCCGGCTGCTCCCCCGGTCACCAATCGTACCATTACCACCTCTCGCGGCCTGGCTGCCGCTTCCCCGCCTCCGACTGCCTCTCGTCAGGCCACTGATTCTGCCAACCCTCTTCCATCCCAGACCTCTACTCAGACCGTAAGTCCGATCTTTCATACATCCACACTCGTCTGTTTTCTCTGCCGCGAGCCGGCCTTCAAGGAAATGAGGGAGGGAAAGGTTCCGAGCCTGCCACGCAGGGAAGCAATTCGCGTTGGGCACGAGATCTTTCGCTTGTGCCAGAATTTCTGACTGCTCCTTGAGGGCTTGGTCCCTCCTGAACGTCGGCCGGCCGGCTACGAGGAGGTCATCTCCCTCGCGACCTTCTCGACCCACCGGGCCACTGCTCTTCACCAAGGTCTGCCTTAGGGACGGACAAGGTGGAGCGCTATGCGGCCTCGCTTCGAATGGTTTGGCAACCGCACAGGAGACCTTTATGCCGACGGGTACTGCACCCAGGGGGACGTGGTCATTTAGCCGCGTAGAGTGACATACGGTAGTGCTTGTCATTCGGTTATGCCGCCTGGTAGGGCGCGGGCGAGCGGCTTCTTCACACAGAACTAGTGTTTTTGGACTCACTCAGTTTTTGTTCGACATCAACTGACTTTGGATGTAGCAAACTGCCTCTCGCACCTCGGCCACTGCTACCGGTGGCTATTACATGCGCGATCTGATCCAGATCGATGTGAACTTCAAGGTAGGACCATCTCTAGCCTTCAGTCTGTACGTGTTGGTGTTTGGCCTCAGCTGACTTTTGGATGTGTTAGGCTCGCGCCCCCCGCCGCATGGCCACTAAGCAGAGAGGCAACATGCCAAAGGTCAACCAAACCGCATTGGAGCTGGCGGTCATGCTCAAGGGACAGGTCCAGATCTCCAGAGACTTGAAGATGGAGCTCCTGGACCTCCGTGTCAAGTATGAGGCTGTCGAAAGAGAGCTGCAGCAAGTCAGACAGGAGTCTGAGCAGCACCGCCAGGAGGCTAAGGCTAGGGCCGAGGCCAACCATGCCTGGGACAAGGAGTGCACTGAACGGCTGAAAGGTTGGGATGCTGCGCGGACTGCCTATGAGGTGCAGATGATTGAGAATGCTGCTCAAAAATGGTAGGCAGAGGTGGCTCATATGAACATGGCGGGTCCGCGCGGGATTATTGAAGAGTCTGATAGAAGAGCGCTTTATGGCAACGACTGAGATTCAGGATTTTGCACAAAGATCCTTTGATGACGAATAACTCCTTCTTTAATGGCTTTGTACTACTTCTTCGCCTTTTAGGTGGTCCATTCTTTGTTATTATCATCATGCGACTTTGATACCATTGTGACACTCCCCAAAGCCAACACTCATCCCATACTTGGTCAACATGATGTCCTTCAGCCACCAACTTCAAAATCATCCCTTCTTGCCAGAGCGAAGTCGTCCCTTCCACACTTCCTGAGCTCGACCACCTTTGGGCAGGTCGGTGGGCTGTTGAGCTGCGCTCCTCGAGGCGCCCTTCACCAGCTGCTCGACTTGGCTCTCGATCGCAGAAATCCGCTCCTCCATGGTCTTGACCGCGGCATCGAACTTCTCCCTCGTCGGCGCCATCGCCGCCGCGAGATCCTCCAGGCCGGCTTCGAGGTTCTCCATGCTAGCCTCGAGAGTCTTCACGCCAGCCGTGGCGTCGTTCGCCGCGAGATCCTAGACCATAGCTTCAAGCTGCTCCACGCTGGTCTCCAGATTCTTCACGGTAGTCTCAAGACGGTTCACACCAGCCAGCGCATCATTTGCCGTGCTTCGAATCGCTCTTCCGTCGGCGCAGGCAGCTGAAAATTTTCTGATGAGGTTTCTGAGATCTTTGGCGATGTGGTCGGTATTCATCTTGTTGAAAACGTTGGCGGCAGCTTCGACATGGAGCTCCAGAAGCTTCAGGCGTCGGTGATGGTCGTCGAATTGGCCCCTGGTGATCTTCTGCTTGAGCTTCTTGGCTCTCTGAGGAGTCCCTGTGAGTTCATGGTGGTTCTGAGAGGACACGTCGGCGAGCGAACAACTTACCTTCTGGTTCTCCAAGGCGACGTTCAGTCCCTCACTCTGCTCGTTCTTGCTGACGCCAAATGCCTTTGCTGCCTCGGGCACGGACGAGGGAAAGTAGGTATGCATCGCAGAGAGCTTCGCGCCAGCTTCTGCTGCGGCCTCGGCATCGCGGCGTCTCTTCTCTCTTCTCCGAACGCGCTGGTTCTTGCCGAGCTTCTTCCGATGCTGAACCATGGTGGGAGATGAAGGCCTGAAGGTTGAGATTGTCGAGCTTCCGAGATCTGAGAGCCTGGCTGTTGAGGAGGTCGGAGCTATCGAATGCAGCCCCTCGGGGTGACCTTCGCAACTTTCACGCGACTCTTTCACAAAACCGGAATATGCATATACTCGCAGGGTCGTTATCTTGGCTAACCCGACCAGATAAGAGGCCGCCCAGCTCACGTAGCTCTCACCTGTCCTGTCGCCATACCTCCCAGCCTGCGATCTCACCTGGCAACCGGTCGTCTCCACTTTACCATCTGGTCTTCCCGCGACCTTCAGCTTCACCTACACATCATTGACGAGAGACCGCGTCGTGTCAATTTTTCTCATTGGCCAATCTGAAATATTTAGCGATACGTACTCGAGCTGGCGCACAATCAGTAAACCGTCCCGTCTGCCCTCAGCCCTCCTCTCAAGTATTTAAACCCCCCCTTCTTCCCCTCCTCCTCCACTTCATCTCTTCCTCTACTTCATCCTTTCCTCCAAATCACCACTGTGTCCCTCACCCCTTACTTCTTCCTCTACTTGGGACCTCTCCCCATCCCAAGGTCTTCTCTTCTCTCCAACACCAACTTTCACAAACACTTCTCACACCCTCTTCCAAATGGACTCCAAGTCACCTCACACAAGCGGCGCTGCTGCGAACGAGTCTCCCATGGTATGTTTTCTCTCCCGGTCTCGTCCTTTGTACAATTCCCCCCGACTTCCTTCCCTTCTCTCGCTCTTTCCAACTTCACCTACTCACGCGCCTTTTGCAACAGCTCGATTCCTCCTCCACCACCGGTCATGACAACACCGATCCCAACAATCACCTTATGGTAAGTCCATTCATTCTCATTTGTGTGCTTTCTTTGCCTTGAGTCTGCATGTGTCATGGCGGAGGGCGTGAAACAATACAGGACCTTGCCAAATCACTGGGTGCTTGGGTTTCGCGGGGCAGATCTTTCGCTGCCTCGAGAAAACACCTGAGCGCCTCTTGATAAGGATACCTGTTTACTCCTCGCTGGCGCTCGCGCCGGCTTGGTTGCCCTTCGCAGTGATCGCTCCCCCATGCCGCCTCCCGCTCCCATCTGAACACCTGCTTGCGCGGGGTCTCAGCACAGTGGGAGGCACGCCCAGGTCTGATCCGGGTGGGAAACGGTGAAGAGGGCAGCTTGAAGGTGCCTCGCGCGCGCTTCGCTGCAGAAGGACTTTGTGTGGAGGGGTACACGTGGTTGCAACTGCAGTGGGCGTGGGGAGAAGGCAGACAAGCGGCAGCACTTCGGGCACATCAAATGCGGACTTACTCAGTTGGGATTCCCTTGCTGACTTGAAGGTAGGCAGGAACACCTCCTCCTTCCAGCGAGCTCTCGATTGCGACCTTTGAGAGCGATGCTTCCGAAATCGTCCGGATGGCTCGCCAAGCTCAGCTAACCCAAGTGCAGCAGGAGCAGGTGCGCGATCTTTTCACGCTTGCTTCCAACTTTGTCAACGGTCAGGGCTACAGTAAGGTGTCTGAGGAGCAGCTCCGCCTCAAGGAGAAGGCTGAGGAGCTTCGGGATGAGTTGGATGCTACGAAGAAGACCTTGGCAGCCACTGGTCGTGAGCTTGGCATTGTCAAGATGCAGATAGAGGACGTGTTTACAATGCGGCGCGTCGCCTTTCGGCAGACAATCTCCACTTGATTGATTCTGAGTTTCCAGTGAGCCGACTGGCTTGCCTTTTGATACCCTGGATACAAACACCTTTTTGCACTTGTAACTTTTGTCCTGATGGGTGTGCGCGCCTTCCTTCTTTTGAGTTGTTGCCATCCTTTGACAAATTTTCCCTCTCCCTCTGACCTCACCAGGGCTCTCATTGTGCTCAACCTCCCATTGTCATTGTTGGCTGTCCAAAGGCGGTGGTGCACGTACCACATCTTCACGTCTTCACGCACGCCTGCTGCTGAAGAACAACTCTTGTGATTTTCAACCCACCCTCCACCTCTTTCCAACTTTGTTATCGACTTTGCAACTTCGCCGTCAACAAAACACCACACCTATTCTTCTTTCATCCACAAAATCTGCTGCGATGAACGTGAGTATGACTTCGCGCTCATTTCAAATTTTATGCTAATAATATTTCAGGGAGATAACATGGACACCGACCATGGCGGCCAAATGGCTGGTCAGATGCCTCACCAGGGCAGAGTCACCACCATAGGGCAGGTGTCGCGCGTTGTTGAGAACGGCCTCAATGAGAATGGCCAGATGGTTCCTGAGCACGAGATTGAGACTGAGGCTCTCAACCTCCAATCTCTCGCTCAGGCTCTGCCTACCTCCAACCAGCTGCGTACCTCTAACCGGCCGGCTGTTACCATCACTCAGGTCTGTTTCCCTTGTCACACTCCAGTTTGTTTTGTCACGTTTCTAACAGAAATTCATTCCAGCACCAGCGTTACAGCCGCCGCCGCATCGCTCTTCGCCAGCGTGTTCACAGGTTCATCCCCAACGTTGCTGCTCCGGAGGACTTCGACACCTACTTCATGCCTGCTGTAGCCGCTTTCTTGGCTGGAGATTTTCCAAGGACTGCCCTTAAGACCTTTGAGGCCTTCATCTTCGCCATGTCGCTCTACAACCAGGAGATTGTCGCTGACTACCATCGCGAGGATAATGAGGACCCTCAGATGCGGGATATCCAGGCCAAGAGACGCCTCCAAGAGAACGTCTTCCGCGTCCAGACCATGGTCACTGACCTTGAGAGAGAGCTGAACAGACGTCAGATGCTCGGCGCTGAGACCGCGGAGGAGCTTCGCTACAAGGGAGATGTCGTCCGCAAGCTCAGAGAGGACGTCATTCCTGAGATCACTGAGCTTTTGGTTAGGTAAGTGGAAGCCAATGCAACGAATTTGATTATCTCTTCAGTTGGCTGACCTTTTTTTAATCATGTTTTAGTTCTACTTAAGCGCCATCCGTCGCGCGCGTCCAACGCCGACATTTGCTAGCTACCACGGTTCTTGGCTCGGGGAGGGTTTTGGAGTCTTCTGCGATTGGACTGCAGGCCCAGGCATCATCATCCTCGACGTCAGAACGTGAAGCTGCAGCTTCCCAATCGTGCTTTTCATATCGTTACTCAGCACTGGCCTACCGCCCCTGCCGATTTCTTCAATCATGAGGCCGAGCCTCCGGCAGACCATTCTGCCAGCTTGGTCCAGTGCTCGTCTTTGCGCTGAAAGCTCGACAATGGTACATGTTTGGATCTGGACGCGAGACTAGGATGGGGCAGAAGGATCAGCTGGGGTTTCAACCAATGTGATGCGAGGAATTTTCAACCGGGGGGTTGGATGGGAACGTACATCAGAGCTTGGCTTGGGGATATCTGGGAGGTCTTTGAACTCTGCGAGGAGTCCTAGGATCTCTGCGCTTTGGCTCAAGGAACAGTCGACTTGGGTGTCGCTGGATGTCTTCTCGGATTTGCTATTAGCTCGTATCGCCCGTACACAGAACGAAGACTTACATTACTTGCAGTGCTGGCTCCCATTTTTTCCAATGGGGTTTGGTGATCCTTCTGTCGAGAGGAGGTCAATCATGTGAGGGATGTGAATTCACGCAGGTGAGAAACGTGGTCCGGGCATTCTTCATATACCTGTCAGTCCTGTTCGCTGAATCAAGACGTCGACATCGGACGATCACACCCCGACAGATGATCAGGCTCTAGGCTCGAATACTACGAAGCATCACTTTCACGTCCCGAGATGGATACTTTTTGTGATTCACTGCGACTCCATTCCTGAACTCTTCGATCGCATTCTGCGTCTACTCCAACAGACTTTTGTGTGTCTCCTCCAATGTGTATCATGATGTGCGCTCGCAGGCGTCCCACGTCTCCTGTCTGCCATCCTTATATCCTCAAATGCTGCGGCGCTCACTGATAGCAACCACGTATCCCCAAAATCCTCCCTTAGCCGCCTCTCTCTTCGCCTCCTCAATCTTAACCTTCTCCTGGACAATCTTCTCCTTCTTGCGCAAAACAGCCTTCTCTTTCGCCTCAACCTTCACTCTCAATTCATCCAGCCGCTCCTTCTCCCTCACCAAGCAGGCCTCCAGCTGCTCGGCGCTATCAGCAGCCACCTTCCGCGCCTCCCGGAGCTCTCTCGCCTCACTTGCAACCGCCTCGCGCTGCTCCATCAGCACGTCGCGGATGTGTCCGACCTCGAGGTGCGTGGCCATCAGCTCGCGGCGCTCGGCGGTGTACTTCTGGCGCACATCGTCGCAGCGCTTCTTGGCGGCGAGGAAGTCGGCGTACTGCACGTCGGCCAGCTCGAGCATGGCGTGCGCCTCGTGGAGAGCGGCGTCGGCGCGGTCCTCGAGCTGCTGGAGGCGCGTCTCGCGGATGCTGTGCTCGATGGTGGAGTGGAGCTTGAGGGTTTGCATCTCGGTGACGGCGCGGCGGTAGTCTGCGACGGCTCGCTGGAGGCGGTTCATGGTGTTAGTTTGTGGAAGATGATGGGAGTTTTCGAATGAATGAACTTGGTGGTGGGGTTGGAGGGAAAAGGAGAGAGAGAGAAGAAATTTTGTACCTCGATGTCGCTCTGTTCCATGTGGAGATAAGGGTCAGGCGTGGGCTGGAGCATCTTGTTTGCTTTGGCGAACAGGAGAGGAGGATTGTGGTAGTACTGGTCGCCTTGAGTAGGAACGGCGCGCTGAAGTGATGAGGTTGAGCGGCGGGTGCCTGTTCTGGTGATGTCTGTTCCACGCGTGAAGTTGTCGTGATACAGCTAACAGTTGGCTAGTGGTCTATCAAAGGCAGTCGTGAAAATTCTGATCAGCCTTCCTCTCAGTGTTCAAATATAGAGGCACTCAGGTACACGGATAAAGAATTATTTCTGCTTTGCTTCAAGTTTCAAGCACTGATAGGCACTGGTAAATGACTGAGCAAGCTTGACTTGTGGCTCTTTGGCAGAAATTTCAGAAGGTGAAGTGAGCTTTCGCAAGAATGGGAAGGCACGATCAAATGTGAGAAAGAATCAAATTTACTATGAAGTGCCCAATCTGTGGAGGCAGCAGTCTTATGAAGCAATGGCAATTCCAACCTCTGCCTTGCCTCTATCTGCCCAAAATCCAGCAGCAGCAAGTGTCCAGCGGCTCATCTCGTCGTCCACCCAAGTCGTAGATGAAGCCAATGCCCAAAGTGTAGTATCCTCAAAACAAAGTAATCAAACAGTCCGGATCAGCAGAGTCAGAACCTATCCTCAAAGAACCAATCCTTCGTCTCCTCGTCCTTGATGTAGTCGCTGTCGGTGTCCTCTTCCTTGATGGGGACTTCCTCCATGTCCATGCCGTCCGAGTCTTCCTCCTTGATGTAGAAGTCTTCTCCATCCGTATCCTCTTCCTTGATAAAGGCATCCTCGACGTCGTTCTCCTCGGCGTAGGTTTCGTCAAAGTCCTCTGCAACCATGTAGTCCGCAGCGTCGCCGGGAAAGTTAAGTCTCCCCATGATTTCTCGTTCGGATGGCATACCGTCCTGTGCTACTAGCCTGCCAAGTAATTCCATCAAAGGGTCCTCATGAAAGACCTCGTACTGGGCCCCAGTGAAGGCATCAGCCGTAGAGGACGATCCCATCGGCTGGTTGGACTCCTGCGTCGTCGTCGGGGGGTACGGGGGGTTCGAGGTGTACTCTCTGGCCGGGTACCTCTCCAGAGAATAGAGGGTTCGCAGGTCAGGCGAGGGCCGCGTGATGGAGTTGATCTGCGGCGGGGTGTTGTCTTGAAGCCACGCGAGGGGGTCAGCCGCGGGCGAGGTCATGGCTTGAAGGGGATCATTCGCCGGAAGCCCACGCATCCAATTACCAGGGTACGAGCTTGCATCAAGTCCCTCCTGTCGCTGGGAGACGTCGAGGTCGTAGTATCCAGGGTGGCCCTCGATACGCCTGCGGCCCGTGGGATCAGGACTGATGCCTCCATAGTTCTCGTAGAGTTGGGCCTGCTCAGGGACTTGAGCAGCCTGAGGAACCTGAACAGCCTCGGCAGCCTGGGCCTGGGGGACTTCAACGGCCTCAGCGACTTGGACAATCTCAGCGTCGTCGTTGTAGGCATGGGCAGCGGCGTGGGCGTGGGCACGCTCGTGGATGTCATTGAGAGTGGCAGGAGGGCTCTGCGACTGGTTCTCGTAGAGGGCGGTGAGGCGGTCAACCTCATCGCGGGGCATCTCGTGTGCGAAGACTCGGGCGCGAGGGAGGCTGCCGCTTCGGGCGCGCTGGGTCTGTCCCACGTTAGGGTGGCCGCGGGGGCCTGCCAGAGTCAAGTCGCCGCTCTCATCCTGGTTGATGTCGGCGTTGAGCACGTAAACCTCATAGTCGGCCGATCCTGCCGTGCGAACTTGGAGCTCTCTCTCTCCACGGAAGTGGAGATCTTCAGGAATAGAGATGCCAGGGTTCTCTCGGACGTATCGCTGGAAAATGCCATGGAGCTTCTGCAGCTTGGAGTACTTGGCTTCGAGAGCCAACTGCATCTGTTTGAGGTTGTCCTTGGCTGCGGTCAGCTCAGCAGTGTGGTATTGGAACATATCCATGATGTACTGCATGAGGAACGCAGTTAGCGGATAGCTCCATTGTGAGTATACAAAAAGACTTACGCGCAAGTCATCCTGGTCGTCAACTTGCATGCGATTGTTAGGAGGTTGCAGCATTGTTTCTGAATGCGACTGGGGCAAGCGCGTGGATAAGCGTTGTTTTGTTGATGCTTTGACGAGGGTTGTGAAAGTGGTGCGCGATTGCAAGAGAACAAATTCAAAACAATGCCACAGTCTGATTTTGTGAAGGAGCAAAGGTTTTTGTGAGGGATGGTGAGTAAGAGAAGTGCAATATTGCTATTATTCTTGTTGTGTAGGAGGAGATTGTGTGAAAGGTGGTAGCTGAAAGGAAGGTCTGTTGTTGTGGTGAGGGCAGCGAGGACGAAACAGGTGCGCACACAAAGGGCTTGTCTGATTTTACTGCAATCCCTGTCTAAGTCCCTCCAGCTCATTGCTGTGGTCTGGTTTTTAATCTACTTTCAGGAAGGTACAGAACACCTTTGGATTTTCTTCAAGCGTATCGCCCCTCATGCTTGAGTTGGCGCTGCGTTCACAAAGGCAAACTCTCCCCGCCCCGTGAAGGCATGATCTCTTTCCTTAGCATAGACTGTGATTGACATATTCCCCTCTGGTTTCATCGACTTTCTCTCTGATAGCCCGCTCTCCGCAGTCTATGGGTCACGCGCGGTGTACCTCCGCCTAGCAGAACTTCTTGCATGTCTGGATGCCTGAAAGGTTACGAGCCTCCCAAACCACAAAAATACCAACTATAGCGAGGCCGATGGCGGCAAGTGCTATAAGATTGATCATGACCTCAGTCTTTGCCCCGTACGGCACCATCTCCAGAATTCGCTGCCAACGTGACTTAGGCCGCATCCAGATCGGAAGACGGTTCCCATAGCGGCCCCGCATCATCTCGTTGGATCGTTCCCACGCCTTCACAAACGCGGGTCTGAGTCGATCGCCAGATTCGATGGGTGTGATTCCAAGAACGATCATCTCTGGGACTTGCACATAAACTAACTCATAGAAGCCGTTTTGAAGTGGAATTGGTCGAGCGAATATCTCGAAGCGCGGCCAAGTGGTAGGAAGGGTGATGGGCGGGGGGTTGCCGGGGAGGAACGGAGGAGGGACCGGGGTTGGGATCTCTTGGGGCTGGCGGGTTCGAAACTAGAAGAAGTTAGACAATCAATAAAGATATGTTGAGATAAATGCGTACCTTCCCGGCTTTCATGTGGGTATCGTAGGCCCAGCTGGGCTTGTTGCCTCTTCTGGGAGGCATCTCTGCTGTAGGCGGACGATGGTGTTGCAGGAGGACGGAGGCAAGGACAACAGAGCCAGCCGGGGAGGAAGGACGAAAATGTGGGACGAAGAAGCAGGACGAAGACGCCGGACGGTGGCGAAAGACAGAGACAGCGAGGAGAAATAACAGTCAGAGAAGGAAAGAAAGCCAGTCCCCCTACATCCTGCCTACACTAGAATTTCTAACGTTGAAGGCCCAAAGGCAGAGAGAGGACTTGTAGTTGGGAACCAAACCCGGGCTTCAAATTACAGTGGTTATGTTTCCGCATGGCTTCATTGTTGCCAATCTCTTCTCGTAACTATGGGAGGCGCTGAAAGAAAGTAACATTGGTCATCTTTTTATTTTATCTGCCAATGAGAATGAGCTTAGTTTATGCGAAAACTGAGGCAGACGTCAAGACTCCGTTGACACCACTCCTTCATCAACACACTTCTCCCATCTAATCGCCCTCATATACACAGCCTGTACACACACGATAATCCAGAATCCAACCGGCAGTCCAACCCAAAATCCAAGGAGGCCCCAATGAGGACTACCCAGCATCAACCAGATCGAAAGTGGTACAACCGCAAGGTAATTCACTCCAAACACAACATATGCCGCAAACGACTGACGCCCCAGACCCCTCAACATCCCATTAGTCCCGCACAGCATCGCCTCCGCGATCTGAAAAAAGCATACCGCAGCAATCGTCTCCGCGCAAATGTTCAACACATCAGCGTCGTCAGTAAACATCCTCGGCGACTCCCGCCGGAACAGAAACGTGACGGCCCCACTCAGACACCCGGCCGCAAGACAGGCAACCCCATGCACAACCGCCGCCCTCCGCGCCGCCCCAACAAGCCCCGCCCCGACGAGGTGTCCGACGCGGTTACTGCTGAACACGCTGATGGAGAAGGGCACATGCCAGACGACAATCGACGTCGTGGTGAGAATCGACTGCGCAGCCAGGTGCCGCGTGCTCAAATACGACGTCGAGAAGCACAGAATCTCAAACGCAGCGTACTCGCTCAGCGTCGCCACGGACCCGGCAAACGACAACCGGACCATCAGACCCCATCCGCGCAGCGCGTCGCGCGAGAAGCCGCCCCAGCAGCGATGGGACCACGAGCCGCGCGCGGAGGCGATGTAGAGCAGAAGCAGCGCCGCGCGTAGGATCTGGCTCAGCGAGGAGCCGAGGGCCGCCCCGTCGAGGCCCATTCCCAGCGGGAATGCCAAGGTCCAGCTGATAAGCGCGTTGACGGGCATGCAGAGTGCGACCATGAGCATGGCGGTGTGGAAGTCGCCCTGGACCTGCAGGAACCGCCTCGCGGCCTCGAAGAGGGCCTGGGATGGGAGGCCGATGGCGCTCATGCGGAGGAAGGTGCCGGCTTTGAGGGCGAGATGGGGCTGCTTGACGACGAAGGAGAGAAGGTAGGGTGAGGCGATCCAGAACGCGGCGATGGGGACGCAAGCAAGCTCCATGAGGAGGACCATTCTCTGCACGTGCAGGCCGACGGTGTGGAGGTCGCCGAAGCCGTAGCTTTGGGCGCAAAGGGTGTCGAGGGTCGTGGCCATGCCTGAGACGAAGGCGGAGCCGAAGATGGCGATGGTCGTGGCGCCGATGCTGGCTGCGCCGAGGTCGTCTGCGCCGAGGTGGCCGGCGATGAGCGTGGCGAGGACGCTGGGGAAGAATTGCAGGAGGTAGGTGACTACGAGAGGCGGACATTGTTTGAGGAGGAGTCGGATCTCCAGCCAGACGTCTTTTGCCTGCGGTTTGAACGGTTCGTTGTGTGCATGCAGCAGGGGCGTGTTCTCTTGATGGGACATGACGTCCTGGCCTACATCTTCGTGAGCCTCGACTGCCATCTGTGCGTACGTACCGCCGAACTAAGATCACGAACTATGTGCCATGGATTTCTCAGCTTTCGTGATGATGATGAAGAGTAATCACGGGTGGTTGAGGACTGAATGAGATACGACTGGCGTCCGATAGCACCGAGTTAAACCACGTGATGTTTGGGAACTCTCCGGTCGTCGATCCCGGAGCCTCGTTTCAATACGAGGTATTCGAGCCAACAGGAACTAATATGATATGTCTTGTATTTCATCGTGTTTGTACCCGTGGGAAGCAGGCGGCCCAGGTGATTAGCAGACACTGCGGTGCGAAAGTGGTTAACCCGCGCAAACTCCACACCGCGCGCGTTGGACACTGTCCGGGAACAGCATCTAATCAGATGATCTGATAAATTAATTATACGAGCGACCCATAAGATGCTATCGCAGAGGCTATGGTGAGATCGCCAAGTCGGAAAGAAATCTCGTTAAAGGTACAAATAGCGCCACGAATCCTCCAGTGTCTCCTTCGCAACTCACCCACGTTTACAAATATCCCGCCAGACCACCACACCCAGACCCCTCTCCGAGCCACTCCTGCCATCAAGATGAAGTTCTCCATCCTCGCCGCCCTTCTCGTCAACGCCGCCGCCGTCATGGCCGGCGATCTCCAGGACCGTCAGGCCGGCGCTTGCGTCACTGCCGGAGGTAACTAACCACTCTCCCTCATCCAATACAACGCACGAAGAAACCAGAAATCGATTTCTGACGCTTTTCGAATGATCCAGGCGGCTGCGCGACTACGCCCACCAACCCGATGTACATGCGGTGCTGCTCGGGCTTGACCTGCTCCAACCACGTCTGCGTCTAGGAGGACCGCGCGTCAACACAGACACCCCGCAGAAAGGCTGAACGCCGGCTGCTAGAGGATTCGCGATGAGCACGTGCGGCCTTTGGAAATCTGGGCGCTGCCTTGTCAAGTGCTATTCATGTGCAGAAATAAGATGAAGGAAATTCATGAAGGTGTCTGTATATAGACTAGCCACGTCGTTCACAGGGGTTGGATTTGGCAGTCGATGCAGCATTGGCATGTCAATCAGATAGACAGCCAATCAACCATTTGGAGGAGCTCAGCTCAAATAGCGTCTGGAATAGCGTGACGATGCGAACGTCAACTACTACAATCGGTCGTGCACATCTCGCACCTCATGTACTGAGACTTGACGTTAGGCTGGACGGAGTCTCCGCAGCGGAGTGTCCACCTGTCTTCAGGACCCAGGCTCAGGAACGTCTTCGCGGTGTTGCGCGGCAGTTAAAGTATCGTGAATGCTTTGAATTATGCTGGACGTGCAGCATCACAAACGTCTCGCGGTCATCTCCTTAATTAGACAACAAGCCTCCCCATCACCATGACAGCCAGCGCAGGACCCTCCCGCAACTCTGAGCCATCCTTCCTCTCCATGATTAGCATCTGTCCCTATCACGGGACATCAGCACGGTTGTGCCATGATGAAATTTGTACATGGTGCCCATGGTGGCGATACATCCTCTCCCCGCGTAGACTTCTCCTATCCAACGCGGCGCATGTCCAAGCCAGGCCCCCGAATGAGTTGGTTCAGCGACACGCAAGACCATGGAACTCGTAACGGGCCCTACAACCTTCCCTCTCCTCCCATCGGCGGAACAGAATGGTACGAAACGACGCAACGCCATGCTCGCAAAATGTAGTTGATCAAACCAAAGTCGTCAGAGGCCTCCAGAGCAACAGACCAGCAGCGCAAGCCGCATGGCCAGCGCAAAGGTAGCCCCTTCAAAAGACAGAACAGTCCCCCGCAAACCCTTCGATGCCATCCCAATAAACGACACATTATTCACACCAGGAGACGCGGAAGCCCCATTTACGGGAGCTCAGCCGCGTGCGCCTGGTTCCGTCGCGGCGGCTCGAAGGGATTCTCCTGCGGCTGCTGGTGCGGCTGCGGCTCGAAGGGGTTCTCTTGCGGTCTCTGGTTATTGCGCTGCCACGAGGCGGGGGGCTTGCCCATCGTCGGGTGGTCGTCGACGTCGCCGTCGAGCTCGAAGTCGACCGCGTCCTCCTTTCTCTCGATGCGTTGCCTCCTCATGTGGAGGAAGGTCAACATTCCTACGGTGCCGATGATGAGAACGGCGCTGCAACGTCATGGGTTAGCCTTCGATTCTCTCGACTTCGGACGGAAAGTTTGGACGGTCGCGGGAACGTTGCATTTTGACGGAGGGTGGTGCTCGGGCAGTGCCAAAATCCCGGTTTTGGTCAATGCATGACGCGGGTAGCCAGGGGAAGAAAGGCAAAAAGGGGTGGTTCGTCAGGGAGAGGAGAGGGGAAGAACGTACGCGGTGATACCGATGGTGATGCCGATGATCTTGGACGAGGCGAAGGGCTTCTCGCAGCGGGAGCTGTTGTCGCCGGGTTCGCAGCTGTCGCGCGCGGCGAGGTGCTGGAGAGTGCGGGCGACGGGAGCCAGGAGGCTGTCGGCGCGGCGCGCGATTGACGATGTCGAAAAGCTCATGGCGGGTGAGTTAGGAGGTATTTGTTGGTGATGCGATCGTTATTCCGTGATTCGGGGATTGCTCGTGTTGTGTGGATGGGGTCGACCTCCTTTTCTCAGGTTCCAGGCCAATTCGATACCCTTGCGTCGCGTGTTGTAGTTTATGTTGCTTTTTTGTTCCGTCCCTTTCGTGTACGACCCTTTCCGTTTGCTGTCGCGAAGAAAATAAAAAAAATGTCTGTCGCTGCGTGCGTGCTGCTGCTTCCCTCTCAAATTCCTCAGATCAGCTGCGACGGAGGTGGACGGCGGACGGCAAGCGGTGGGCGACCGCTTTCGTTCTGCAACGAGTGGATGTTTTCCCCCTGGATTCGCTTGTGAAACTGATTCGGAGCGACCCTGCAATCGTAATCCCTCTCTCTTTCTCTCTCAAGTGTCAACGGTTTATGCAAGGAGCGACGATGAAGAATAAAAGGGCCATGAAAAAGGAAGGAAGACGCAAAAGGTGGCCAGCGAGCGCCAAGAGGGGGGAAGGGGAGCGAGGCACTGGGGAGGTAGAAATGGATTGAATGAGTGACGAAGAAGGATTTTGAGTTTTGTGCAGGAGAAGGATTGGACGGAAGGGACGAAGGCAAATGGAATGGAAGGAAGGAGTGGAATTTTGGGCAAAGCCAAACGCTGTTGCTGCTGCTGCTGCTGCTGCTGCTGCTGCTGCTGTTGAAAACACGGGGAAGGAGAGGAGGCGGACACCGGGAAAGAAGCAAGGGGATGGGTCGAGGTGAAGGAAGGTGAGGCAATCTATCCAGGGGAGGGGCCGCCGTCTCAGGCAATCAGGGTCCGAGAAGGGGGCACACCGCGCCTCAGCTGCCGCAGCATGCACCAACAAAGCCTCACTCTCTCCCCCAGGGTCCCCAATAATACAAGACACAAGGCATAAGCAGTGCCACTTGTTCCCTATTTTCCATGTCTCAGAGCACCTCACTCGCTACTGCACTTCGTAGGTATTCAGAGACACAGAAAACGGGGGGGAATTGTGGCTGTGTTTCACTCGTTTTCCCATGCCGAACAACCGGAATTGGCTGCTGTGATTGGCCACACCGCCCTCCCCCCCTTGGGGTCATCCCGCCGTAAAAGAGCATCCAGCGATCCGAGTCAACCGGAGGGAAGGGTTCATCGTCACTGAGAATTTCCCATTTTCATTTACGACCCAGGCGTCGCTTTCACTAGTCTGCCGCAACACGAGGTGGGAGAGGGGCTATGCCTCCATGTAACTATTCATTCATACAAAAACCTCACAGGTGCCAGACTGCAGTTCATCGCCAGACATCTAACTGCTGCAGAATCGCCGAATCATGACTGACACACATTCTCCCTCTCTCAGTGCACGCACAACCAGGCTTGCACCCTGGAATTAATTTAAAGTGACTGCCAGAATAGCGGCTTGCGGGGAAATGCTTGTCTCGTGTTTCACATTCCGAACGCCTCCTCGTCGAATGAGGTGCCACCCATCCGTCTCCAATCCGTGCTGCTGACACTCGCTGAGCCTCTCTCTCCCACTCTCCTTCGCGGCGGGACGGCGCTGTTCCTGCTTCAGCCTCTGAAAACCGGCAGTTCCCTCCCACTCCTTCCTTGAAATTCCTCTGCTTGCTTGAATTGTCACCGCGGGACCGAGGTGACAGATACAGCGGGTGTTCGTCCCTTGCAGAAACTCAATGCAACCAGAGGCGTGGGTAAGCAACATGTTAATCTTGTTCAAACTTTGGGACGACAGACAATAGCGAGCCAGCCAGCGGCCACGCCCAGCCGTGTTTATCTTTCGTACCTGCGTTGCGCCCCGAGAGAGGCGAAAAGCCAATCTCTCGATTGAGATGTTTCTTCACAGAGGCCCATCTCGTGACATTCCAGCGACGGCGATTGTTCCGGAGATGAGACCGAGGAAGGTGAAGCAAGTGCAGCGACCTTGCCAATGGGGGGCCCGCCCCTTTTTCGCATGATCCACTTTATCCAGAACATTCACAGAGAATTGCAAGGCACACGCGCGCGGAGTGCACTGACCAGATGCGCCGGGCCTGTTAATAATAGACCTGGGCTCCTCCCCTCCTACGCCGGCCCCGTTTCTTTTTTCGGAATGCCCTCGCCTGTTGCCGATTGTCCGGGCGCTGCGCCCAAATCACCCGGGTCATTTACCTGAGGGGGGAATTCGGAGGTTATTAGGAGCTAGGGTGGGCGGGAGCGACGATTGATGGGTGATCTATTCAGAGCATCGCAGGATGCGTCCAAGGAACGACGCTAGAATGTGCCAATGGTGTTCCTCCGGGCTGCCATCGTGGGCTTCTCCCCGGGCCCTTGAGAAGGATGAAGCGACCGAGCCGACGGGATGTGAAAGAATGTGCTCTCGGCCCGAGTAATGTCATCCCGCCCAGGACCCACAACGCCGAGTCTCGCCCCGCCCGCCCTGCAAGGCCGACGATCGGCCGGGCCCGGCGCCAAGGACGGGGTGGGCAGTGGGGACCAGCACCTGCCGCCCCCCGCCGTGCCGCATCCCGTGGAGCTTTCAGCGAACGCGAGAAATGGAAACCATAAACACATGGAAACTACACAAAAACGTGGCCACGACGGGCCGGACAGGATGATCGTCATGGCACATGAGACGGGGGTGGATCGCGATGATCCGCCCCCCTCGTCTCTGCCCTTCCCCCTCCTCTCCTCTCACCGCTCAAAATAGGAGACTTTACTTGGCCGACCGAGCTGAGAACATAGGCTCAGAGCTTGGCTGTGCTGAGAATAATGCGAGAAGTCAAAACTTCTCGTTATCTCAAACGTCTTTGCAGAGTCCGAGCTGGAACGCTGTAAGGAAGGAGTCTAGAAGGACAGAAGAACCGGAAGTCGGGATATCGGACGGGGTCGAGGGAGGACGGCCGTCCACGGACCGCGGCTTGTCGTGTTCCAGGAGACGGGACGACGAGACGGCGACGAGCGGGCCTGGCGAAAGAAGCTTTCTTGGACTCTGTCATGTAAAGGGTCAAAGACCTGCGGCCCGGATCGCACTTGGATGGGACCGCTACCTTTTTTCGCGGTTGTTCGCCACCATCGTGAGCGCTCGAAACAACGCAAGTTATGTTTCCAATCAAGAACCAGGCCAAGACGACGTGCGAGGCTGCCAAGGAGGGATAATTCGGAGCACGTGGACTGGTCTGGAAGCCCAAGGGGAACGAGCGGTCCCCAGAGATGCAGTTCTTGACGATGGGGGAGGGCACTTCTCTGCCCCAGTGATCCTCGCTGCTGATGGAGACGGAATGTGCGGGTGCAAGATGGGCCACATCGCCTTCATTTGGCATGTCACCATCCGTCCTTCACATGCTCCTCTCGTTATCGGGACTCGATGGATACCGCAGCCTGCCAAACAGAGCCAAGAATCCCATCGCGGGAACGAACAACACGCATCCATGAAGAAACAATCCCCTCCGGCCCCTGCGGCTCCTTCTCTCAGCCGCGCAGCAGGACCGAAGTCATACTGAGGGGTAACCCAAAGCAACCTCATGCCTGTCGCCTGTGCGGGCGATGCGCGCTATTAGGTAACAGCAACATTAATGTGTGGTCCAGAACGTCCCGGGTCCAGCCTCCGAAGGAGTTTTACCCTCAATTGCGGCAGATGAGGCTCTTTTGACGACATGTCTTAAATCGGAGGTGGTGGGCGTTGGGCTGGACAACGGCGGGAATGGTGACATTTGTGGCATCAATGGTTGCGCATTCCTGGCCTGGCTGGAACTTCGGAAATGTCTCGGGCGCTCTGCAAAGAATAAAGTCACATTCTCCGACCGCTTGATGCCGAGGCCTTGTCGCGAATTAGGGAATGAAGAGGGGGTGAAGTTGAGCGGCTGAGAAGGCCGGCCGGGCGAGACGGAAAACCGGAGCCGATGGATGGCAGGATCGCACGTCAGTTTTGTCCCATTTAGCCCATATGGGAATTTTGTCCTCCTTTTTTTTTTTTTTATCGGGGTGGCCCGATAATTGGTCTGGGACACAACGGCATGGGCCGGTTTTACCGAGCACCTGATTATGACGACGACAACCCAGACGACTCTTCCTTCATCATCTCTTCCCTGGAACCAAACCCCGTCTGAATGTAGCCCAGAGCGAAACTGTTCACATGATGCCGACATGCCAACAACGTCTCATGCCGCGGAGATCCAGCGATCCTTTGGAGGCGGGGTAGGCTGTTCGGTCTGGGGGACGGGATCTACGGCGCAGCGCGATTACCAGAATGCTATCTATTCGGTGAGAGCAGGCCAGCTGATAAGAACGAAAAGGAGGCTTGCATGCGTTGCGGGGTAAATCGACGCCAACGAAAAACCTGGGGAAGATAACGAGGAGGTCTGGCAGGCTCGACTGATTCGCTGCTGGGGTGGCGCGAGGGTTTCACGACATATCTGGGGAGGAAAAAGCCACTTGGTCGAGGAAGGCGGGGGGATCGTCACGTCGCGATGTTTGACGACGGCACGGCGGCGGTGGTGTTGCGCGCGCACGCCCTATTGGGGGGTGCTTGGGCGTTCGTCGACCACCATTCCGCTTCGTGTTCGTTAACAAGTCTTCTTGTAAATAGAAGAAGAAGAGGCATGCCGCGAACAGATGGCCAACGACGACGATCGTCTGTGAGGCGGTTTAGGTTGGACGAATGGCGGCCATCCCGAGTGTGCTCTCGCGATACATTCGAGACGCAGCGGCAGGTGTTGTCGTCCTGTGTAAGTCAGTTGCTTGTGTCTGTGTTTGGTACAGGAGAGGACAGAGCGTAGGGCAGGCCAGACTTCTTGGCTCCCTGGCGGTGACGATGTTGCCGCAGAGAGCTTCGTCGTGACGATGTAAACAAACCTGCCGTGCCTTTTGGCGTGTTTGATAAACGGGCTTGGGTGACGCTCAAGTCAGTCGATTTAAGATTTCTTGGGGGTCGGGCGGTGCAAGTTCGGATTGCTTGCGGGTGTTTCGATCATGCCGTCCTGCCACTGGGCAGATGTAGATGAGATGAC